CCTCAAAGTCATTCATGAGGGTTAAAATAAACTGTTTCTAACCTTCTATTAACACTAATATTATGACCTCTTCCCATGAGTCACAAATGCTCTTAATGGCATCTAGATTTGTGAATCCTTCCTAGAGGTTTTTAATTTACTTTCTGCAGACCCATCAGAGAAATCAATGTCTATGGCAGCTATAGCCTTATGAAAGATATTTCTTAAATAATAAGGCTTTTAAGTCAAAATTATTTCTTGATCCATGGGCTGCAGAATGGATGTTGTGTTAGCAGAGAGGGAAACATTAATCTGTTTGTACAGCTCCATCAGAGCTCTTGGGTGACTAGGTACATTGTCAATGAGCAGTGATATTTTGAAAGAAATCTTTGTGTGTGTGTGTGTGTGTGTGTGTGTGTGTGTGCAGTAGCTCTCAACAGTGGGTTTAAAATATTCAGTAAACCATGCTGTAAACAGATGTGCTGTCATCCAAGTTTTGTTATTCTGCCTATAGAGCACAGGTAGAGGAGATTTGGCATAATTCTTAAGACCCCCTAGGATTTTTGGAATGGTAAATGAGCTTTGACTTTAACTTAAAGTCAGCAGCTACACTATCCTCTAACAGGAGAGTCATCCTGTCCTTTGAAGTTTTAAAGCCAAGTATTGACTTCTCTCTAGTTAGGAAAGTTCAAGATGTCATTTCTTCCAATAGAAGGCTGCTGTGTCTATACTAAAAATCTATTGTTCAGTGTAGCCACCTTCATTAAGGACCTTAGCTAGATCTGGATAACTTGAAGCAGCTTCTACATAAGTACTTCCTGTTTCACCTTGTACTTTTACGTTATGGAAAAGTTTTTCTTTTTCCTTAAACCTCATCAATCAACTTCTGTTGGCTTCCAACTTTTCTCCCACAGCTCCTCACCTCTCTCAGCTTTCATAGAATTATAGAGTCAAGGCCTTGCTTTGGATTAGGCTTTGACTTCAGGGAATGTCGTGGCATCTTTCATCTTTGACTCAGATCACTCAGACTTTCTATATATCAGCAATAAGACTGTTTTACTTTCTTATCATTTGTGTCTTCACTGGAGTAGCACTTTTAATTTCCTTCAAAAAATTTCCTTTGCATTCACAACTTGGCTGTTCGGTATAAGAGGCCTAGCTTTTGGCCTATTTTCATTTTTGATATGCCTTCTTCACTAAGCTTAATCATCTCTAGTCTTTTGATTTAAAGTAAGAGATGCGCGACTCCTCCTTTTACTTAAACTCTTAGAGGCCATTGTAGGTTTATTAACTGGCCTAATTTCAATATTGCTGTTTCTCAGGACATAGAAAGGCCCAAGCAGAAAAAGTTGTGACGGGAAAATGGCCAGTACATGGAGCGAGTCAGAACAAATACAACATTTATTGATTAAGTTCTCCATTTTACATGAGTGCAGCTTGTGGTACCTCAAAGCAATTGCAATAGTAACATCAAAGATTGATGATCACAGATTGGCAAAACAGATATAATAATAATGAAAATGTTTGAACTATTGCAAGAATTATCAAAATGTGACACAGAGACACAAAGGGAGTACATCCTGCTTTGAAAATGATTTCAATAGGTTTGCTTGATGCAAGATTGTCACAAAACTTCAGTTTTTTTAAAAATGCACTATTTGGGCAGCATGATAAATCAAAGTGGTATAAAATGAGGTATGCCCTTATACACACAGTGGAATGTTATTGGCCACAAAAAAGTGATACTTCCATTTGTGACAACATGGGTGAAACTGGAAGAAATTTTGCCAAGTGAAATAAGCCAGGCATGGAAAGACTAATATCATATGATTTCACTTACATGCAGAACTATAAAGAATTAAACTCATAGAAGCTGATAATAAAATAGTAGTTGACTAGTGTTCAGGGGTGGGAGAAATGAGGAGAAGGTGGTCAAAGGGTGCAAATTTTAAGTTATAAGATGAAAAGTTCAGGAGATCTAATGTACAGCATGGGTGATGATGAATGTGTCAATTAATTTGTGATAATCATTGAACAATGTATACATATATCAAGTTATCAAATTATGCACCTTGAATATAAATTGCTTTTGTCAATTAGAGATTTTTAAATATGAAAAATTAATAGAATAACAGTGGTAGAAAACACCAATGAGTGGCCATGTATAATACATCACAGAATCGAGAACAAAAACCACTACTACTCTGCTATTATAGTCCAATACACACAGATAATTTTCCCTTAAACTCAATAGATGCAGAGCTATGTACTCATTGGCTGTTATCAAGTTTTAAAAATTGTCTATTAGTGTGAATTAACAAATGTATTATTACCTCCATATATGTGAGACCCAGACAGCTGACAATGACAATATCATCTACTACCAGATATTATGTAAGTTTCATTTCTATGTTAAGACTTTTTTTTATCTTAAACAATGTTATTTTCTTTTATTCAGCGTATAAAATGACATGGACTTTCTAAATAATACCTTCTTTTTCTGACTTCATTAATTTTGTTGCTGACATCTCTGTATTCTATGTCACCTATATTTAACATCCAAAGTCAAATTTAAAACTTTATGTATAGCTACTCACATCTATTTCTTTTAACCACATTCTCTCATTCTTTTGCTTCTCATTTTGGGTGTAGTTTTGCTTTTTATTATTCTTTTTTCTGTTCTTTCACATTCTAATTCCCACTCTGTCACTGCCTTTATTAAGACCTTTACTTATTTATGCCTAAACTACACTTACTGCTGCAAACTGGTCTTGTGACTTGTAGTTTTTCCCAAATTCAAATCAGTCTTCACAATATTTTCAGTTCAGTCTCTCAAAAAAAGCTTGTTTTGTATTATTTTGATTAACAATGAGTCTAAGTAATGTCAGTTAACTTAATTTGGGTGCAACTTAATTTTTTTAGTTGATATCCTAATATTTTCTTCAAGCCCTCTTTTTATTAATCTGTATCAGCCTTACTCACTACATCCTAAATTACTGACTCAGAAGATATTGAATGGCTTAGCATGGTATGTATGTGGATATCGGTCATCCAAAAATTATCGCAAGCACTTTATCGCAAGTAATTTTTTTTCTTGAAAATGTTCTATTAAATTTTGAAAGATTTTTTGTATTAAATAGTGAATAGATACAACCATTTTAATATTTGTAAAAGACATAAAGAACAGCACTAATCCAGCATTAAAAATGGAATATCACCAGTGTTATTCATGAACCCCATCCCTTAATCCAACTCCTTGATTTCCCACCCTTGGAGGCAATCAGTCATGAATATTGTTAGTCATGTTCTTCTTTTCTTTATCAGTTCAGTACTTATGTATATCTATCTCAAGTTAATACTGTGCCAAACGTAGGATCTGAAACTAAAAAATGTAATTGTATTTTACTTATTCTGTCTTTTCTTATGTTATGCCTTTTATGTTCAATGTTATCTTTCTTCATATTCTTTATTGTTATCTTTCTTCATATTCTTTATTGGTGCCTGTATTTGTGGTTTGTTTATTTTTACTACTGTGTAGCATTTTATTGTTTGAATATGCCACAATATAATTATACATTGTACTAGGGATTTCAGATTTTTCACTGGTCTGAACATCTGTATATTCAGAGAAATGGAATTGTTACGTTTGGAGTTATATACATTTCCCACTTTTATAATGCCAGATTATTTTCTGAGTGGCTGTAAAAATTTATCTTACTACTATTAGTAGAATATTCTGTATTAGTAGGATAAACATAATTAATTATTCTGGTTTCTCCACATTGGCAATATTTTATTTTGTGGAATTTAGAAAATTTTGCTAGTGTGATACATCTAAATTCATGTTCTCATTGTGGTTTTAATTAGGTTTTCCTATAAAGAATATTTCTGTAAATTCAGTTTCATTTTAAATATGTTTTCTGTGAAAATATTAGAAAGGACAAAAACTACTGACAGGCATTAAAATAACTGGATGCTATCTTAGGTATATAGATGTATTTCCGAGGGTATTCATCTGATTCTAAAGAGCCTCTGTGCATTCTTCTATACAGTGAGTATACAGAAAACAAAACAACTCTTTTAGCAAGAAAGGTTGTAAAATTTATAAAGATCCTGCTTTAAAGATCAAAACTACCACAATGAATATATTTCTGAAATTTAAGTATTCATACAACAGCTAATATACAAAGAAACAATTGTTAAAGGAAGAACGTGTTTGTAAATTAGGAATATTTTATCTTATGATTTAAGTAGTATAGATATACCCATATTTCTTCTTTAGCAGTTCAACTAAGCAAATTATAATAAGAAAATAAACAGGATTTTCCTCCAAGTGATGTTAAGGAAATATTAATGGTGGTGGTTCTTTTCAACGCAGGACATACATTTCTTCAAAAAATGTAGCATATTTTTGGTCCTGACATCAAACTTTTTATGCTGGTGACATAGAAAATATTGAACACAGTTGTTTATGAGCTACCAAACTGGAGAAACATATAAAATATGGGCTAAATGCTGTGCTTAGGAAAAAATTGGCACATTTTCTGTTTTTGTCCAATATTCTACCTGAAAATGATACATAACACAAGACAACTAATAAAATCATTTTCAATGGAAGAAAATTCACCAAGAGAAATTTAAGCCACTTATTTTCCAGTGTATAAATTGAATAGTTACTATCCTTTCTTTGTATGTTTTAATCAATCACTCTCAACTATACCAGTTAATTAAATTATGTTTTAATTATATGAATATCAAGCATCATATACTGATCTGTTGTATAATGGACTCCAGATCTAAAACACACACACAAAAATGGCAAAACAGTTTCTTCATATCCTAAAGCAGTGATCCCCAACCATTCTGGCACCAGAGACTTGTTTCATAGAAGACAATTTTTCCACAGACAGCGGGTGTGTGGGGCATGGTTTTGGGATGATTCAAGTGCCTTACAGTTACTATGCACTTTATTCCTAATATTATTACATTGTAATATATAATGAAATAATTTTACAACTCACCGTAATGTAGAATCATTGGGAGCCCTGAGTTTGTTTTTCTGCAACTAGACGGTCCCATCTGGAGGTGAAGGGAGACAGACAGATCATCAGCCATTAGATTCTCATAAAGAGGCGCAACCTAAATCCCTTGCATAGGCATTTTCCCACAGGGTTCGGGCTCCAGTGGTAATATAATGCAGCCAATGATCTGAGAGGAGGCAGAACTCAGGCACTAATGCTCTCTGGCAAAGAGCTCACCTGCTATGTGTTGGTTTTTAACAAGCCGAGGACTGGTAGTGGTCTGTGGCCCGGGTTTGGGGGCCCTTGTCCGAGATAAATGTAAAACCAACTTTACTGTGGTAGGTCCAAAGGATTTGTTTAAACACATCATAGCTGGCATCTGAACAAAGGACAAGACGGCCTTTATCAAAGCACACTTCTGATTCTGGTATTTCAAGGCCCGTTTCAATACATACAAGTCTATTCTATGAACTTTTAGTTTTCATTTTGAATTCAATGCTGTTACTTGTTGAAATACTATTTCAGAAGTCTGTCACCAACTTTCTTCTAAATTCTTCCCCAGATCAGACTTATTCACCAGCCTTTCAAACTTTATTATGTCTTTCACTAGAGGAAAAAAAGAATCTACATGACGACATAAGAAAAGATATCAAAGAACACCCAACCCTCACCCTTGACATTTAAAGACTTGATCTTAAATCCTCGGCAAACAAACGTGCTCAGTCTCAAGTAATACAGAGCAGAGATTGGATAAGAAAAGATAGCTAAGAATATTCCCATATTAGGCCCTGTATCAAGTCACTGAGTATCTTTTAAAAATTCATTTTAAATTATATATATTTTGATTCTTCTAATTTGAGTTTTCTGAATGCTGTAATTTAATATGCTTATCCTTTTTTTTTCTATGTTCACTTTTTGTGCTTACATTTGTTTCTCTTATGGACTGTCCTGTTTTTACCAAAAGGACTGATTTCATATTAATCTTACTCCTTACATGCTCAGAACTAGGCTGTTTTTGTTGTTGTTTTTCTGTTTCTTCCTTATATGAAGTTGAGCGAGTTATTTATTTAAATTCATTTATCTCAAACCTACGTGGTAATCGTAATTTTCACTCCATATACCTTACAATATTTGTATTGTACATTATACCAGATAAAATAAAAGAAGGCTCTTTGTAAAATGTATGAAGTACTATATAAAAGAAATCTTCACTTCTTTCTAGATTTATCCCATTCTATCCAAAACCTAAGAAGATGAGCAAAGAAGATAATATTGAAACTCTTACAATAACGTAATGATATAATATGAAGGCCAAGATGACAGATTTTATCTGGAAATCCATATAAATAAAAAATATTTGCTTTTTATAAAGTTTCCGACTAATATCACCTAAAATTGATTCAACAATTATGGATAGCACATCTCAAAAGCAGAGTTTTCTAATTTAAATGGTCCTCAGAGATCATGTAATCAAGCTCCTTCATTTCACAGATGAGCAACTGGAAGTCCAGAGGCATTAAGTAATTCACTCACCATCCAGTGTCATTGCTAGAATCCACTTTTCTTAGCTTTCATTTTAGTACTCCTTTCACTGTATCAACTGGCCATCTGATTGAAAGCCTGAGAAAGCTGCATTGAAAGTCAGAAGGCAATAAATCTAGCTCATCCCTATCCTTTTGAAGGTCAACATTTAATTCATTGTCAAATGCTTGAGCTACAATGTCCTAAATGTAATGTATAGATTGGCTATCCTAGGATACATAAGCAATCACATTGGGTTGAAACCTTTAAGCAAATTTGAGGTTATGTTAAAAATCACAACATTAATTCCATGCATCTTCATACTAAATACTTCTTGTCATACAATGCTTTCCCACTAGCACCAATCAATGTAGAAAGATATTGAAAAAATGTAGGCTAGTAAAAGTTTTATGAGTAATAGAATTTTTTAAAATGTATCCATAACACTGACCTGAAGCTACAGAACTCTTCTGAGAAGTTTTATATGGCATTTAAAAGTCTTGATTATGTTTAAATTTTTTATCGTGCAAAATTGTGCTGCTCTCCTTTGTTTCAGGAAAACTCCACCCTTCAAGCACACTACTAGAGATTTATTAATCTGATACTTGGTTTTCAGAGATAATGAAAATAAGGAAAACACTACAAAGCTCATGCTACCATTATTGATCTTAGGCTTTTGGGGATAACAACCTAAGCTCAGAGGTAGATAATGTTGCAGACACTTTTTCCCATGACAGCTAGCCAAGATCCAGACCAGAATTTTCATCAGTAAAGAACGCTGACCTGCGAAGTATATGGAGGGGGACATGGAACACTTAAAGTATCAAGGGCCCACTTACCCTTTCTTCTAGCAGCAGCTGAACTAATAAAAGTCAAGGGTTATTGAAAATATATCTTTCTATCACTAGTATTTTTCTGTAGCAGTTATCACCACTGGGCCTAAGGGGTTTGACAAAGGAGCTTTTTAACACGAAAGCAGCAAGAAGCAAGCCCAGAGCTGAGCTGGTTGGAAGCCCAAATGGTGCATTTTAAAAGCAAGCATGGAGAGCATTAAGCATCTCTGAGCAGGCTCCCTCTTCCCCTCAGGATCACAGATGCTACCTTTTTAGACTATTTTCTCATTCCTAAGGATCCGTGGGAAATTTGGCCAAATGAGATAACTCTGCAAACAGCCATTCTGAACCCCTCAAGAGTCCCAATTTTTGTAAGAATGGCTCTCAAAGGAAATGAAGGAGAAGTAAACAGACTCAGAAGAGGAAATGAAAAGTGCAATAAAGTAAAGTTGGGGTGATAATGAGAAATGGAGATTAAACTTCAAATTTAAAACCTGGTAATTTTCAATGTATTTCTCAAAAATTCTATTTGCAGCTATAAAATAAGAAAAAATAAGTTATCGATATTTTAATTTGTTCTAATATTTCATCATGATTTTTGAAAGTGGTAGATTGGCAGTGGAGGATGATTGGATTTAGAAAATCAGTGGAGTCAGGGTTAGTATAAAGAATAACTAGGCCTGGCTGATAATTAGCAAGGTTAGAAGAAAACATGGCTTCTGCATGAGGTGTTGGCATTTACATACAACAGTGGCTCTTGATTTTTCGTTAAAAAAATTCAAACTAATAGACCAGAGTTTCTTGGGAAAATTTCACATTCTATGTATTTTGTGAACAGATGACTGTCATGGGCTACTCTAGGAAACTCGTAGAATGACTAAAGCCACAATTATTTTTCTTCTTTCTAATTGTATCATGTTTATCTACTCAACATCTTGCTGAAAAAATATTTATTAAATGCCTACCATTTGCCAGGTCTGTGCCCACATGCCTTGAAGTAAGAAAAAAAACAGACAAGGAACAATAGTTGCACACCACATTTAGGAAGGTGGGCTTATTTATCAAATAAAATCTTTGCCTCTCAATAGAATCAACTTTAGTCTTTCAAGCAATTACCTTTTCTAAAAACAAATAATGTTTATTCCATGATCTGTGTAAATATTCCATAGTATAGGCAGTCTGCAATGTTGAATTAAAACATCTCAACAGGAGGGACATAACGAATTCCCTTTCTGACAGAACCTCGTTGGTTACTTATTAGGAATTTCTATTATTGCCTTCCTATGCATTATAGCTACATCAACCTCCCACTGATATTAATGCAATTCATAGAATTAAAGATAAAGATGCTTTTAATTCCAGAAACAAATCCTTCATTATTTAAATAACTCCACAGGCTACTATTAAGCATTTTAACAAAACAGAATTACTACATAAAATCCCAGAGCAACAGACATCAAACTAGAGTACAAACAATTTCATCTACATATTTCTATGGAAGACCAGCATATGGAACCTTAAACTTTCCTTTCCATAGGTTATGTATCATATAAATATATTTATTTTAGGGAAAAACTAATAGATATTGATTACATATAATGAGCTAGGCTTTATGGAAAATATAGCCCATATAATTATCTCAATTAATTCCTGCAATTTCTCAATGAGACTGATGTATATTTTTTTTTTTATTTTTTAAGAGAAAGGTAATAAACCTAGAAAAATCTATGTAACTTATCCAAGGTCGTAAAGATGGAAGGCTGAAGGCAAATTTAAAACCTAGGACTAAGAGCAAAGCTTCGTGATCTTTGCTCCATATCATGCTGGCTATAGTATTTCTTCATCACCAATGAACATAATAAGTGATAATGGCTAAATCTACTTTTCCCAGTTTTCATAAAGATGAACTGTTGTGTTTGTATAAATTAAACAAATTACACATTTTATACGCAAGAAGCACTGACAGTTTATCTCTGAATATTTTCAGTTATTTTATTCTTTGAAATATTTTCTTCTGGCAATTATAGGATTTTAAATGACTCATTTACTTCATTACAAGAATTATATCTTAAGGTGTTAATTATTTGCTTTAGTAATTCCACATGACACTTTAGAATGTCTGAAAAACAAAAACTGTGAAATGAGACTATTTATTAGCATATGAATAGTAAATATTTTCATATGATAATACATTTCTCCTATTCACAGGAATTACTTATTATCTATACCTTCTTTTGTGCAAATTAGGAGGTGAAAATTTATATTTGAAGAGTAGACTGATTAGGAAATGATTATTAACTTTATAAATGATTATTGGTTTAATAATAAAATATTTATTTTAAATTTTTTATTCAATGATTTTTCGGGTTTCCTTTATTAACAAGTTTACAATTAATGTATTTGTTGATGTATTATGTATTAAATGTATTACATTTAAATATCAGTTTATTTAGAAAACTTATTTCCAAAAATTTCTTCACTCCCAAACACACATTGCAATTTGCCTTTTAAGAATATAAAGTCATTAAAAAGCTATTTTATTACATAAAAGGATGAAAAAGAATAATAATGTGGTTGGCAATGTGGGGGAAAATATATATATATTTATACAGTGATAGTTGGCAACCTGAATAGAAGGAATTAGTTAACATTTACGAAAAGTTTTAAGAGTGGGTAGACCTCATCCATCAATTTTACTTCTGAAAGGCATAATTCAGAAAAGCATGCATAGATGCAAGCATATGAACGTTTATTGCAAGATTCCTAATAATACTGAAAAAAATTGACACCATCTAAATATCCTTAGTAATCAGTGAGAAAAACATTGTGTTCATCCAAAGACACTCTTAAGAGCATCAAAACACTACCCCAGTAGGGAAGAAAATGTATCTAATAAGGGTTTAAATCCAGAATATACAAAGAATTCTTAGAACTCAAAACCAAAAAGACAAGCAACCCAAATCAAAAGTGAGCAAAGGACTTGAGTAGACCTTTCTCCCAAGAAATTCAAATGGCCAATAAGCACAGAAAAAAATGCTCAGCACCCTTAGTCTTTATGGAAATACAAATCAAAGCCACAGTAAGATACTATTTTATACGAACAAAGAAGGTTATAATTTAAAAAAAAAAAACAGAAATAAGTAGTGTTGATAAAGATGTGGAGAAATTGGAACCCATGTGCATTGCTGGTGGGGATGTAAAACGTTGCAGCCATTGTGAAAACAGTTTCTAGAAAGTTAAACATGGAATTATCATGTTACCCAGCAATTTCACTCTTAGATATATACTTCCCCCAAAACTTGAGGACAAGGACTCAACAGACACTTGTAAACCAATGT